TATATTGCTTATGCTTTACAAGAAAAAAAGAAAAAGAAATACGTAACATACACAATATTGCATTTCCTTTTGCTGATCGCAAAGAGATTATTACCTTTACCAAATTTATTTTCTTTGATGATCAACCCCGCTATTTTTATTTGTATCGTAAAGAGAGTGTATTTCACATAATATTAATGTCCATGACAAAATTAGAATTTTCATTAAGAAGAATTAAAAACACATGCATGAAAAAACTAAGAGAATTAATAAATAGTACATAAATGGAATATATGATTTTATAGTCCATTAATTACAAATTACTTAATATCTTTGTCCTATAACCCTGAACCCTAAAATGAATACATGAATAAAACGAGTTAATACCTCAGATGGTCACTCAACTATGCACTATTCTCTCAGAAAGTCACTCAACTTTCAATTTTAACTCAAAAGTCACTCAACTATGCACTTCTTTCTCATAAAGTCACTCAGCTTTGAATTTTAACTCAAAAGTCACTCAACTATCCACTCTTTCCTCAAAAAGTCGCTCAATCTATATAATTGTTTTTTTAATTAAAATTTGCTGATATTAATTGTTTATATAACAACCAAAATTTTAAAAAATAAAAAATATCATTTAAATCATTTAGTGATCCACCCACCTAACCCGACCCATTAAAAAATATAATATGACCCATTTTATTTTGCCCTTAATCTTAAATTATTCCCTCTATTTTATGAGCAGTTAAATAACAAGTTCAGCAACTAGAGCATGAATATCTGTAAGGTTTACACAGTTATGGAGATGATCAAATACATTTCTATTAAGATTGCACCAAACAATAAGATTGTAAGTGTGTGTTACACTAATTGTGTCGTACCCTTTTTTTCTTTACTAAGGTAATTAATTGAAGAGGTAAAAAAATACGAAAAATTATAAGTTCAACGGATTATAGACCACCTGCATAATTCAAGTGTGTAGTCGATAATTTCATCATAACTTAGATGTGTTTCTTTGCCTTATTTCTAATTTTTATTTTTCAAAAAGAAATGAAAGACGGGTAAATAATTTATGTTGAGGAGAAAGAGAGGGAATAATTTAGGATTAAGGGTAAAATAAAATTGGTTATATTATATTTTTTAATGGGTCGGGTTAGGTGGGTGGATCACTAAATGGTTTAAATGGTATTTTTTATTTTTTTTAAATTTTGGTTTGTTATATAAACAATTAATATCATCAAATTTTAATTAATAAAACAATTAAATAGATTGAGTGACTTTCTGAGAGAAGAGTGGATAATTGAGTGACTTTTGAGTTAAAATTCAAAGTTGAGTGACTTATTGAGAGAGAAATGCATAGTTTAGTGACTTTTGAGTTAAAATTGAAAGTTGAGTGACTTTTTGAGAGAATAGTGCATAGTTAAGTGACCATCTGAGGTACTAACTCTGAAGAAAACACATTCTAATATTTTGTATGATGATTTTAGGTATAGGAAATCATTTGGTCGATTGTGAATGAGTATTTCTATCAGAAAATGTTGTGTTATTGATGGAGTAGTCATCTTTAAGTTTCAACAAATATAATGTAGTGGAGTATTATATACGAAGGCCACCCACTTAATTTTCCCATCATTACATAATGGTGTTACCTAAATGAACAAATGAAAGTTGGTATAGAGAACATGACTTGAAAATATATTTTAGAAAATAAAAAAACTTGGCCCTTTATTGAAGTGTTATTATAGAGGATGATTGTTAAAAGAGATGCTTGACTCGTATCGAAAAGTTGCATATTATATGATGATTCATGTTACCATACCCTTCATTCATTTTCAAAATATATAATGTGTGTTAAGAATTAAGATTGCACCAACCCCAACAACCGTGGGCGTTTTTGCAGTAAATTAAATTTAAGATGACCAATTCTGCCTACTACTACTACTATGTACAGACACCAAACAGAGTGTAAAGCAAGACAAAACAGAATGTGCGCATTTATGGAACTTACACATCTCACGTCTCTTTCATCCAACTATACGGCACCGCGAGCGCAACTGAATTCATTACTCAACACATCTTAACTCAATCTCAAAAATCAGTCAACATTATTCAAAATCAAATTGATAATAAATGTTGGAAGCTCTGATCGACATCTCTTGCACACTCGTACTAACATAACATGGAGGTCCAACACCAAGAACTAAAATGAGTGATAATGGACCTTGAGCTTAACTCGATTTCAAAAGATGGATGACACACCAAGATGAGACCCAATGTGGGGAATTCTGATGTTTTCCCACTCAAACCACGTATATGTATACGAAAAGATTTTAAATTTTATACATCTAATAAAATATCATTCATTCTGAATCTGCTAGTCTGGTTCCGCCTTTGGACACTCGAGTTGGCTACAACTTGTTTATGAAAGCTGATTTATTGAAACTACGTACACACATCAGTCAAACAAACTTCCATGTGTCATTTACAATATAATACTACTACGTAACAAGGTGAAAAGTTCTACTACTTAATAATGGCTGGCTACAGTAGTGCATATCAAGTGAATTGAGATAAACTATTGAAGGGTAAAAAAGTTCAACAACTAGAATAGTATAAATAGTTCAACACCTAAAAGGTGAAAGGAATTTTGATGTAGGAGACCTGTTATTCACATGGAAATTCTTTGCATCTACAACTATTAGAATCCAGCAATCAAAGAAGCTCATGAAATCTTGAAACTCATCTGTACTGCCAACTTTTCTCTCTACTCTCTTTGCCTCAGAATGTGGATTTCAAATCATTAGCACCTATGACAGGTCAGGAATCCTACCACCAGCCGCCAAGATTTGCTTCTCCAGCTGCAATTTTATAAACAAGCTGCAATTTAGCTGATTTTACAGACTTTGGAAGAAAAAGAAAAATCTTTTCATTAAATAACTATTGATGTATTGGACATAGTCAAAGACAAGGTGCCAAAAGCTTTAACTTATTGGGAAAAATGTAAGACTTCAGGGAATAAAAAGTTTTTAATGAAGTCTAATCATGGAAGAGAATTCAATGTCAGAAACCTGGCTTTAAACAGGTAAAAGGAAGTGACAAGAAAACTTATTTTTTAAAGTAGTTATGAGCAGAAAACATAAAAAATGTCTTGCTAGGAAATTAAGGACTCCAACATTACTTGAGTGGAAAAGGTTAAATCAAATGAGGAGATGCTGAGAGGGCTGTTTCATTATCAAACACCAGCCTCTAGGTATTGCTTGTCAAATACTATGACTATGACCTATAACACATCCTGTCAAACTTTATCGCGAAATAATTTGTGAAAGATCTAAATTGGTTGAGTATCAGAATCCCCACACTTGACTCATTGAAATTTAAGCATCATGTACTAAGTAGCATTTTCTTCAACAGTATGGTACTTAGACTTGGAAATCCCAAGCATTTGTAGAAGAGTACTTACCCTCATCAAGGTTTCAAGTTTGTTCTTCACAAGAAAATATTCATGTTTCACCTGCTGCAGACATTGCACACACCTGCACTAGGAGATAAAATAATGTACAAAGATAAATAAGAGTGGAGTCTCATGGGTACAACTCAAAAATCAAACTTAGATGCACCACACAATAACAAGACAGTATGAAGGCTTGAATCCCAAATTAACCAAGGTTGCAATATGGGGCTCGTTGTTTCTTACTACCATTTTCCGATTAGATATTCCATGTTTGAAAGCAATTAATAAATTAAAGGCTTTAGCTTTTATGTTATCTCATAGAGTTTGAAAGTTCCTATGAGGAAAGTTAATCAAAAAGTAATACCTATTACTATTCTAGATACCCACGCCACAGCTATATGGTCTTACTAGCTGACTTATGTTACTTCCGTATGTATTTACACAACAGTTGATACATGTATTTTCAATAGTTTTTCCAATATACTTTTTCTTTGGCTGAGAATGGCAAGTATAAAAGAACAATAGTTCATCCAATATAATACTATAACACAACTGGAAATGCTAGATTTTCAATTTTTTTTTTTTGGAGAAATACAACAACATACCAGTGTAATCCCACAAGTGGGGTATGGGAAGGATATGATGTATGCATACCTTACTCCTACCTTTACGGGGTAGGGAGGTTGTTTCCGATAAAGACTCGGATCAAAAAAAAAAGTGCAGCAGAGTGTAAGTATATAAGATTGCAAAATAACAGGATACAAAACAAACGAAGCAACAAATAGTAATAAACACTAAGAAATGTTAAAGTATAACTGATATCAAAACTAGCACTAAGGAAGTGCTGTGGTTACATCCATAAAAGAGCAAAAGAAAGGTTACCCCTGGCTGCTATCTACACAAAAGTATATATGAACTGTAACAGCCAACAGGGTTTCATCATCCTCAATTATATCCATTTTACACTAGGAAGAAACTGTAAAAATACAATCAGATTTGACTTTCAAGATTGAGATCTTGTGTCCATCAACACATCTTCTATTCATATCCTTCCAAATACTCCACCATATGCCAGCAGGTATGGTAATCCACGTCATCTTTAAGTGTTAGGGCAGATCTTTTCTAGCTAATTAAGTGAGGTCATTAAAAAAATGAATCCAGATTTTACTAAGAGATGCTTCAATTAAATTGGCCTTTCATGTTCAAACTGTGAAGAAAGAGAAGTCAAAATACTTAGGAAAACAACGCAGACTTAAGCAGATTTGAGGCAGAAAAAAATGTAAATGCTACTTGAAAAGATCTCTGCACAGAGGCAGTTCATACTGGTGTCCTCCTAAGGGGCAACAATAATTTTGTGAAGATTTAGAGACTCACTAGTGAAGCTGGTCTATTATTGTGATCTGATAACTTCAAGCATAAGAGTTGAACAAGAATGGAGTGGCATGTTAGACTCCAATTTATCTTTTTTACTAACCAGAAACATCTGCTCAAATCCCTCTGTTCTTTATTCTGCAGTGACTATATATATAGAACTCCAAGAAGGCGTGATTCATTTTGTTTAGTTACTGGAACTATGTAAATGGTGTCCCAAAAGAGAGCCAAAACACAAAGAGATCAGGATGCTTGAGGTGGGGCCACCAAGACACGACAACATTGGTATTGCAATTCTAATGTAGTAGAAATGTCTGAAAAAGATAAATTGGTAGGTTCTAGACATGTACCTTCGTAAATGAAGAGCCATATTAGTATCAAATAACGTCAGACTTAGAAAATGCCCTATAGACGTATTTTGCGTGCGACCAAGAATATACCACATGATCATAGGTAAATCTTTAATTTTTTATAATCGTGTGTCTAGACCAACTTGTGTGCTCCTCGACTAATTCCACGGGATGTCTGCCACCTGAGACCTTATGTTTCTCAAGTCTAGGGTGGGAAGAAAACACCTAGTGTTTTTGTCTCTACTGGGATTTTAACCGGAGACCTCATGGTTCTTAGCCCACTTCATTGACCAGAAGGACACACCGTTGGATGTTGGCTGTATGTAAATCTAATATCATGTTTCTACGCATTGATACCTATTAACCCCTTTATCACTATGCGCAATACACCAATGAATTAACAAAAACACAATGACATATGATTTACATGGTAAAAAACAAAATTTCCAACAACATTTTTTCTAAATGTCTACAAAGTCAAATCTTTTTATGTAAATCTTCTGAAAACCCAAAACCTTATACAGATAGATAGAGTAAGGCAAAAATTGTAAAAGCATCAAGCTATACCCACCCTTCAATGTTCTTCTCTTCGCAGAAGGTTTTGAAAGCCATACAAGCATTCTTTACTCTTTGTGCACCTATGCTGCAAAATATAACAGAGATTCTGATCAACCAATTAATCGGGATACTACTAACTCCTAAAAGACTTCCATTCAATTACCTAAATTCGAATAGCATAAAAGATAAGTAGGTTAAATCTTTGATCACAATAAATTCACTCAAGATGTATCACTTGTGTACAAAATATCCAAAAAAGTCCAAAAAAGATACAACTTCAAGCATCAATTAAAGTAGTTTAGTCAATGACAAAAACCTAAAAAGGAAAATTGGATACCTGGAACTGCTACCCTTGAACTGATGGACATGGGAATCAACTTGCTTAAAATCTACAACCTGTTGTTGACTACAATTGACCAAAAAAAAAAAAACTAATGATCCAATATTTCAATTTCAGGTAAACAACAAAATAAAGTAAAAAAAGACATTTATTTCTCACAGAGCTGCTGCCAGATTGTTGATAAGTTTTTCTGAATCTTCAAAGAAAAGTGAAACTACTTCAAAAACAAAATCTGGGTTGCTCTCATCTTGCAATTTCTGAAGCTGAAGAAACTGATCATCCAAGAATCTCTTTTGAAAAGGAAAAAAGAAAAAAAGAGTTTTACGAGCAAGCAAAACGAAACTCACATCAGAAAAATCCCCTAATCAGTAAAAAAAAAGAAAGAAAGAAAACCACCTCACGGTACAAAGCTGAAATGAAGTCCATAAACTGTTTCTGCAACTTGGCTACTATTTCCATGATGTGGGATGGGGTTGTCTTCTCCCAACTCAAACTTTATTGCAGATCTACAGATTTCATATACTAATTTTAAATTGCAATAAACAAACAACTTTAATAAGTATGTACCAAATCAATGCTCGGCACAAAAATTATGGTTAATATATTACGAAAATACAAATTAATGAAATTCCATTTTTGTCCTAATAATAACTATGAGTTACTTTAATTCCTTTTTCGCTAGAATCAATCAAATTGAAACTAAAATTGGATAATTAACTTTATTTTATTAGAATAAATATATGGAGTTAAAGACAATAACCTATATTACTTAGTTATTGACCAAAAAAAAAAGTGATTTTTAATTGGGGATATTGTAGCTAATGAATAATGATATAGATATAATATATTTCGTTTGCCTTTGAATACAATGTATCCCACTGTATTTTTGAACTAATCATTATTACATTTAGTAAATTATCGTTATATATGGAAATTTCTCTATAACTTTTGGTCAAATATTAGTGTTGGAAGTAAGTGGGAGATTTTGTAAAGTCATGATTGACTGGAAAAATCATAGTCTATTCAAACAATTTTGGAAATTAGTTAGGAATAATATCCTAGCAAATAATACATAGACTATGAATTCAAACTCGTTTCAATGTTAGGCCAATTTTAATATCATATTGTCATGCTATATGTTTCTCTTCACCATAACATAATATATCGTATTGTTACATACTTATGTTTTTGTACAAGTAGTTGTAAGATTTGCTATGACTTTTTACTAGCATCTAACTATTAATGATGTTTTTGCTTTTGTTCTATTTAATCTAAATTAAGTTTTTATCTTAGTGCATAACATAATTTGCATTAGACTCATTATATCTTTGTAAACTAAAAGGATACAATTGTTTTTCAATTTGTATTGGAGATGAAGAAGTATTTTAAATTAAAATAAAATAACAAAAGTTACTATACTACTTAAAAGATGTATATCTATTCTATTAAAAATGGGTCATCTCCGTCTTGATCAAACAAGATTAATAGTATCAATCAGTCAACACCGAAATTCACTAGATAATATATATGATGATAGTCATAGATCAAATAACTACCGAAATTCTAACCCAGACAGAAAAACATACCATTTACTGTATACCAATATTCTGATTTGCTGCCTGCCATTGGGTACCGATTTACACATCACAGAGGAAAGAAGCTTAATACTCCTATTTATTGTCTAATGATAAGATAGTCACGGGCCTTTCGATCATTATCAAATTAATGATGAGCCATGAATATCTATCTAAAAAGACGATTGACTGTTTTGTGGAAATCATACTAATACGACATGTTAAAACCCTTCAAAATGGGCCTTGATTTTCCTATAATTAAAAACAAAATGACAGCCAAGCTTTGTAGCTAATGAAAACATACTCACCTATCTAAGATTAGATTACCGAACTACCAACAGAATACATACTACGACTCTACAATTCTGGCAAAAATTGGGTCAAAATTCATGTATGCACGCACATATCTGCATCAAAGTCCCTATAAATAACTTATACAAGAGATAATTTATCAAGGGGCAGACATACTCTACCTTGCCTGTGGTAGAATTGGACATACTCAGCATAACTGCACATATAGAGAAAATATAGAGACCAAAAAGCCAGAGCAAATAACCTCAAGTCCATGGACCAACAGGAAATGCAGAATCTGAAGGAGGACTGGCAGACAGTCACCTTTAACAAGAAGAACAGAACAACGTGACATACCACCAAAAGGAGATACCATAAATCGGAGACAAATATCAACTCTCAGAAAATTGGAGATATAAACGTCAAACTTTTTCATGCTACCATATGTAAGTTCTTAGAAACTAAAATCTTAACATATTGTAAGCAAACAAACACATATCAAACCCCAGATTGACGAAACTACTACTACTGATTCTCCAAAACCTCAGAACAAGACCTTGCACAGCGATGATAACACCAGAATGACATCATTATTTTAAAAAACTCTTCTGATCTGTTATCTCTAATGGCGGTGGGCCAAAAGCCTACCCAGACCCTACTAAACCTATCTTGGCCCTTACTGGAACCTCAGAGACCCCTACTCTACATACAATAGAACAAAAAACTGCCTGAAATATTTTAGTATGTAATTCATATATGAACCCTACAATTTTATCTACTAACATAGGGGCTATGTTGCTCAACTCTTCAAAAATGTCCGCAGGTACGTGTCGGATTCTCCAAAAGTAGTGTATTTTTGGATAATCCAACACGGGTGCAACATCAAAAGTGAAGAGTCCACACAACATAGCATAGGGGCCATTCCACTATCAAATCATAAGATAATTGACCCTTCTAATTATAAAACGATTAATAATAATAATTTAAATTCTATAAATGCCAACGTGGAAGAGAAAATCACCTCATCCTCTTCTTACCCAGGTAACCTCATTCATCCCAGTCACAAACAAATAAATATAAACCCTATATTGGTAGGTTAACAATGAATCATAACTAACACAACCTCATATTCCGACACATTCCTTTATTCCATGTGAATGGATTGACCCCCGAAGCAATACCCATTTATGCAACTCAAAAACCAACTCCCCAACCTAAATCCATCCTCTTTAGGCTATACATCGGTATGAACAGCTAACACAAGCACGCATAGTTTCTATTTTACAACAACATGAGGCAATTCATATTATTGGGCGCTATTTCACTGGTACTTTGGCATATAGACCGGTCATGCAGGTCCTGTCCAGTTTGCCATTTGATCCACAAGGATCAGCATCAAATGAATGTGCATTCTCTTTTGGTCAACCAAAGATATACTTTTTATACGGGGCAAGCATATATAGAAAGGAAATAAGCAAAACTTCAAAGCTGCTATCCTATGTTAGAATCGAATGGGAAGGAAAGGGAAGTCAAGTTAGCAGCTAAATCAAAGTAAAGAAGGCTAACAAATTTTCCTTTCTTCACAGCTTTAAGGTCAAATCAAAACCATCACCACAAAAAGTGAATTGAGCAGTAGAGATGTATTTTGCATAAAAAAGAGATGGAAAATAACAAAAATACATGGCGAATAAGTTGAGCCTTTAAGATTACCAAGACTCTAAAGTCTAAACACTGCATCTACTAAGCATATGAACAACTCCAGCTCCATCCATGGACGCACTGCACTCATTTAGTGCTACCTACTAGCTGCACCCTTCTTGTGAGAGTTGGCAAGAAGAGCGGTAGAGGGTATGGTATCAATCATAACTTTGGGGCTGGTAAAGCTGAAATCTGAGGGTTTAACGTCACTGAAGTCGGGATTTTGTTGAAGAAAAGTAGTTACTTCAGTAAAGGATCTGAGTTTCTTCCCTGAAGGAGTGAAATAATAAGCATCCATCTTAGAGTAATCTCTCCTCAGGTACAATTCTCTCTTAAACCCAGATGGGGTTTTAGGCAGATTGGGCTTGTCAATAGCCCAAGTTCGAGAAGAATCGTACTCAATATCTGTAGGGTCATCACAAGAAGCATTGGGTTGGTTGTGGCAGTTAAAGGGTTCTTCAGTAAACCTACTTCTGATTTCCTCAAATTCTTCCTGTGTCGCAATCCTCCTCCATTTCAAGCATTTTTCACATTGTGCTGCCCACACGCTCACTGATGGATTCGTTGCGGACCTCGACGACGACGTCTGTCACAAAATAAAGTACCTCTCTAATCAAAACCTAGAATAGCCATCGGAATCATTCTACAAAGCAGAATTTTTTCTACCAAAAAAAATCAGGCGACATGACATTCCAGATCTCTATTTTTTTTTACTGCAAAAACTACAACTAGCCGTATCTTTTTCTATAAGTAATTTCAAAACAGCAAATCAACAGACAAGTATAAAGATTAATTGTTCATTCGAAAATTTACCTTGGGAGTTTTTGGAGAATCTTTCGCCATTTCTGAGAGCAATCAATCGACGAGCAACTGACTGTGTAACTATCCAAAATGGACACCTGCTTTGGTTTTACTTTTACATAGCATCTGTCGCCCAGACGTATGAAATTTACAGAGTAGGGTCCTTACTAATTTAGGATTGTCTAATTTAATCCCTTTTTTCCAATCCTGCGCTTTGCAAATGATTATTATTGCACTAAATATAGTTGTTCTTGGTCCTTACTAATTTACGATTCTCTAATTTAATCCCTTTTTTCCAATCATGCGCTTTGCAAATGATTATTATTGCACTAAATATAGTTGCTCTTGGTCCTTACTAATTTAGGATTCTCTAATTTAATCCCCTTTTTTTTAATCAATCTTCATACATAGCTTTGCAAATGATTATTATATAGTTGTTGTTTTGGGCTTACTAAAAGTGTCTTGAGATTATTTAATCGAATGTGATTGTTTTGTCAACAATGAATTTCGCCCTATTTTTAAAATTTTATAGCCCTTTTCGCTATAGTAACTATAATATTGATTTTGCACCTATTTTATATTTAACGTTTTGAAATTTTCTCACATTTTTTTCTCTCTCGAATATTTGCCTCGTCAATTATTCTTAATATTCATGCATTGTATAGGACTATAAGTTATATTATAAGTGGTGCACTGAACATCAACTTGATCGTGATAATTTTTTTTTACATACATAAAAATTATAACAACTTTCAATGATTGAGAATTCATGTAACCATAAAAAAAAATTGAAATTGATGGTTTTGACAGCGTCCATTATCAAATTTTATTATCACTGGACGGATGCATTTTTGTGAATCTTGAAAATGACACAGTACTAGCTCTCTCTATCGTCTATCAATGTTTCTTCTTCTTTAAAGTGACGATGAAAAATGATATTAGGAGTTGAATTAATGGGTTAGATTGGTAGGATAAAAAATTAGATGGATAGAAGAATTAAATTAAGAGCAATTTTTTATTGGAAAAAAATATATATACATGTAGGTGCCACATACAATAATAAGAGTGAGGACTTGAAGCTTAACTATTCAACGATAAATATGTATCTAAAATTGGAGCCAAATATATATAAAAAATACAACTAAAGCTAAAAAGAATATATATACATATATAAAACTTTTTTTGTGAGAGTGTAAGGAGTAACCAATGGCGTAGGCACATGTATGCCAGATCCTTCGTCGGAAAAAAATACCGCATATACAAGTAAAATGATACATGAAGTGATTAAATAACATATTTTGGACATTCTTGACATAATAGGTTGTTATAGCCTAGTGGTTTAAGATGTCTTGAATGTGTGTTTAGACATCTTTAATGAGTCAGTGCTCGCGTGTTTAAATCTCATGACTTGGAACAATTTTTTTCCCTTTTTAAAAAGAGCTTTTGTTGTTTAATTTTTGGACCCTCTTCGTGAAATTCCTGGCTCTGCCACTGAGAGTAACAATAAATATAACCTTTTTTCGAGTTGGGTGGTGGGCTTCACCGAACACACGCCACTTACAAACCCTATTAGAGCTGAACTCCAAGCCATGCGAAAGGGCATGGCACTACCAGTAGAGCACAACCTTAGCCTTATAGAAATAAATTTTGGCTCATCTGAAGCTATTAAAATGCTAATCTATGATGATCTGATTGTTGAATGCAGGTTCTTGATGGCAAAGTTAGAAATCACAAAGACGGAGCATGTACGTATTGTTAATAAAATGGAATGACAGATAGGCTTTGAGTGAAGAATGACGTTTTTGACCAACCCACCATTTTAACTACAACACAAATATAGGCATAGAAGAAAGTAAATGCGAATGTACTAGGAACTAACTTTACTAGGGTTAGTAATGAACCACTTTGTATTATCCGGGATCGAAATGTGACACAAATTAGTAATAATGACCTATCATTGTCCGCGGGCGGAGAACCCATTAATCTTTAAGAGTTAATAATTTTGATGGTCACTCAACTATCAACTCTTTTCACAGAAAGTCACTCAACTTTCATTTTTAACTCAAAAGTCACTCAACTATGACTTCTTTGCATAAAAAGTCACTCAACCTATTTTATTATTTTTTTTCACTAAAATTTGTTGATATGGAATTTTTATTTTTAACCAAAATTTTAAAAATAAAAAACATAACCATTTAAACCATCTAGTGACCCACCTCATTTAATCCGACCCGCTAAAAATATGATATTGAACTTTTTATTTTATCATTAATTCCCCAAATCATTCTCTCTTGTCTCATTTTTCTTTTTTTTTACTTTTTAAAAACTTTTTTTAAACTCTAAAAACAAATACAAGCCCTCAAAATGGCCTGTTAAATATACAGACAGCTAAAGTTTTTAAAAAGTTGAAAAAAAAAAAGAAAAAAAAAAGAGAAGAAGAACGCTAGGAGAAAAAAGAGACAATAGAATGATTTGGGGAACTAATGATAAAATAAAAAGTTTAATATCATATTTTTAGCGGATCGGGTTAAATGAGGCAGGTCATTAAATGGATATGTATTTGATTTTTAAAATTTTGGTTAAAAATAAAAATTCCATAGTAGCAAATTTTAGTGAAAAATAATAATAAAATAGGCTGAGTGACTTTCTATGCAAACAAGTCATAATTGAGTGACTTTTGAATTAAAAATGAAAGTTGAGTGACTTTCTGTGAAAAAAGTGTTGAGTGACTTTTGAGTTAAAAATGGAAGTTGAGTGACTTTCTGTGAAAAGAGTTGATACTTGAGTGACCATCAAAGTTATTAACTCTAATCTTTAATATTATAAGTAACCTTTGATTGAAAAAATAAATATAACCCTTTTTCCACTTAAAAAAACACTCCAACTAAAACCTAAATGGGGACATTTCAGTAAAATCAGTTCTCGAATCTCTTATAAACTAGAATGTAAAATTCACCGTTCATCCCTAGTGGATCTTTCTGGACGTTTTCTCGAAACGACGGTACGGTGATGAAAAGTGGAGTTTCCAGTTTTCAGACTGATGGCGCGATAATGATCCGCCATGGCGTCGTCATACTAGTTTCTCTTTTGTGGTTCGCCACAGCCGAAGCTTCTCCTTGCTCAATTAATGGCAAGTCTTCTCATCATTTCTTCTGTATGTGTATGAGAAAATTTGATATGTATTGTTATAAATTTTCACTAACTAGTAGTTTAGTGGATGCAATGCACTGATATTCTGTTCTCACTAATTTAAAATCATGCTTCTGCCTTCAAGTTAGGGAAAATTTCCTATTGGAGGAAATTCTGGGGAGCTTAGAAGCTGATTTGGATTAGTTGATTCTAGAAGAAACAAGTTATTGGTTCCTTTGACTGAAATTCCAATGATTGATTGATAATATGCTGAATTATTTTGAACTGTAAAGAAATTAATTAACGTTTTCATTTTATGAGCAAAATTTTCTATCCTGGTTAGAGTATAGAAGCTGTGATTTTCCTCATTTTCCAGGACTACCAATCGTGAAGAATATTAGCGAGCTTCCACAACACAACTACGGGAGGTCAGGTTTATCTCACACTACAATTGCAGGTTCAGTCTTGCACGGCATGAAAGAGGTGCTATTCTGCTTGCAGTTTCTTAATTTTGACGATATTCGCTGACCTGAATAGAATAGAGATAGAAAGGATTTATATAGCCAGTTCTATCTAATTTGAGATTGAAATGAAGTTGATTGATAGTAAATATTGACTATTTGGTTTTGACTGTTGCAATTTACTTTGGTTTCATCACTGTTGTTTCATGAATAGATAGAGGTGTGGCTTCAAACATTTGCCCCTGGATCTCGCACACCAATCCACAGGCACTCATGTGAAGAAGTTTTTGTCGTCTTGAAGGGTCAAGGCACTCTCTATCTTGCTCCTAGTTCACATTCAAAGTACCCAGGAAACCCACAGGAGTTTCATATATTCCCTAATAGCACCTTTCATATCCCTGTTAATGATGTTCACCAGGTATCATTCTGCCTTGAACTCTTTTTTCTCTATCATACTTGTGCTTAAAATTATTCCTGCAAGATGTTAAATAGAGTTCAATAACTTGATAAAGAAAACTTTGAGCTGATACATTCTTAATGTTGCATCTAGTTTTGTAGATAAAAACACTTACAGGGGTTTCTAACTTTTACTTCTTGAATCATAATCAATCAGTTGACTAATTAATTGTTGAAAGGATTTAAGATTTAAGAATTAAGTCGGTCAATATTTTACCAGGTTTCTAGGATAATCTTTGTCTCCACTTCATAATTTCTTTATGTGTGAGATATGCTCTATCCCCCTCATGGCTAATGTACTTGCTTTTCTTCATCTTTCCATGCTCTTTCTGTTTGTGGTGGATGAATCTGATAATTGGTCTACTTCTCCCAGCCATCTGTCATTGGTAAAAGCCCAAGTAGTTTGCATTAGTCATCCTAGATGCATGCCTTGAGTTAAGACAAAATTGCTAATATAGCGTGTTTAAAGACCTATACCAGTGCTGCTTTTGCAGTCACAAAACCTCAACTGAGCTCATAGGTCAATCGTATTACAACTTTTTAAATTAGGCTTCTTCTCTATGCACGTGTGACCGGAAGTATGCTTTTATTTTTGTAATTACAGGTGTGGAACACTGGTGAACATGAAGATCTACAAGTTTTAGTTGTTATATCTCGTCCTCCAGTGAAAGTGTAAGTAACATGTGTTGAACAATAAACTTCCAGTCCACCATTGCACAGATTATCATATACCATCAGTTTGTCTATGCTTAGTATTTTTTGTTAACCTTCTTACTTTCATATTTTTGTTTCTATACTCTCCCCACGATGAAAAACTCCATATCAGTTTCATCTCCTGATAAGGATCAGTACTTGGACAGTTGGACTTCATAAGAGTTGAATCGGGAGTTGTTCTGATGCAGTTACACTCTGTGTTTCCTATGATTTACCATAAGTTTTTAAACTTTGATGTTTGTTCTTGTCAACATGTATCCCATTGTGTAACCCTTCTTCCAGGAAAACAATAAACAAGAGGGGGGGGGGGGGGGGGGGGAGGGGGGCCATAGCGGCA